ATCAAAGTGAAGTTAAAACTGGGTGGGTGATCACAAATTATGCCTTTGCTCCAAATTTTCTAGTTGTACTTATTATTTCATTTTTAATTACATTATAGGGATCGCATTTCTGCTTATAAAATTACTGAATTGGAAACTTTTGACAGTAATAATGTTTATTACGGTGAATACAATGAGCACAGCCTAATGATTAATTCAATGTAAGTTCATAGGGAAACCTGGATTTGAAATTTTTTTTTTTTTACTGTAACTAAATCCGTTGTTTTTTTTATATATATTCTTTCCTTTTAGTCGCCCGACTTATGATGCCAAGAACCCTTATCCAGCTCCAATTACCATTACTCACGATCTTTTTAAATCTACCATTCGCAATTGTGTTCATTTAGAGTTGGACATTGAAGGGTCTGGTATTAATTACGAGGCTGGTGACCATGTTGCTATTTGGCCCATGAATGCCGAACAAGATGTTGTAAGATTGCTTAAAATATTGGGTCTTTGGGAAAAGAGAGACACTGTTGTCTCAGTTGAAAGTACAGATTGTAAGTAGTTTTTAGTTAATTTACAATATTTAGATTTACAAGGCGTTAATATTTATATATAAATTTTCTATATCGAATAGCAACTGTATCTAAAAAATATCCATTCCCAATCCCAACAACTTATGCAACTATTTTCAGAAATTATCTTGATATCCATATTCCAACTTCACGTCAGTTCATTGCCAATTTGGCAAATTTCGCACCAACTGAGGAAGGCAGATCTAAGCTCACTGCTTTGGGTCAAGACAAGGAAGCTTATCGAGTTCAAGTTTCTGATGCACATCTTACATTAGCTGAAGTTTTGGAATCGATTTCTCCAGACGGAAATCCTTTGAACTCTATTCCTTTAGACTTAATTATCGAGACCCTTCCGAGATTACAGGCTAGATATTATTCAATATCAAGTTCGCCGAAATCCACACCTACATCAATTCACGTTACTGCTACTGTATTAACCTTTAATCCCTCAACAGCACCTCAAAAGACTGTATACGGTCTTGCAACAAATTATTTATTACAAGTCAGTCGTGTACTAAGAAGTATTCCACATCCAGAATCATTACCATCCTATTTATATTCTGGACCAAGAAATAAATATTGTGATGAAGCAACCAGCAAAATTATGTTGCCCATACATGTTAGACATAATAATTTCAAATTACCTAAAGATCTCAAGACTCCTGTTATAATGGTTGGTCCTGGAACAGGTATAGCACCTTTCAGAGGGTTTGTTATTGAAAGGGCACATTATAAGGCTCAAGGAGAGAAAGTTGGTGATACAGTTTTGTTTTTCGGTTGTCGAAGACGAGATGAAGACTTTTTATACGAAAGCGAGTTAAATGAATTGTTTGCCACTCTCGATAAGAGTGGAAAATTGATAACGGCATTTTCAAGAGAACAGGTATGCATTATCCCTCGATTGTTGATTATTTAATATCTATAATACTAAATTATTTTTTTCGTTTGTTTAGTCACAAAAAGTATATGTACAGCATAAACTTCGTGAGCATGATGAATATGTTTGGGATTTACTTTATAATCGTGGTGGTTATTTTTATGTATGCGGGTATAGTATCCATTCATTGATGCATTTTTTTTTTTTTAGCAAAAGAACTTTTGATCTATACTAATATTGTTTTCCTTCTAAGGGATGCCAAAAATATGGCACGTGACGTTAACTCCGGACTTATCCAAATTGCACAATTATGTGGTGCAATGGATGAAATTACTGCAACAAACTACGTTAAAGATTTAAGGAGCAAAGGAAGATACCTGGAAGATGTTTGGAGTTAAAGAAGTAACAAATAAGGTTAATGACATTTTGTTATAATAACTTATAATAATAACAATTAATTTAAGAGATTTTTGTTGTTTCCTTGACGGAGACTTTATATTTAAAAAAGAAAGTTATTTAGAAAAATTCAAACAATCAAAAACGATCGAAACTCGATTTCAATTAGTATTATACATTCATCATACTACATAATTTTTATTTTTTTTTTTCAATTCCAAAAATCTTTATATAAAAAATTGAATTAATGACAATTTTTTTTTTCATTTTTTTCACAAATAAATTATTTAATTATAATGTATTAGCAATATAGTTCTTCTCTTTTAAATAATTTACTAAAATCTATTTAATGATAAAAAAAAAATAATAAATACAATTAATTAATAATTTTGCATAATAAATATAAAATGTTCATGTTCATTATTACCTTTATACTTTCTTCTATTGAAGATTTATCAGTTTTAATATGAAGCTCTGGAGACGAAGGTTGTTCATATGGAGCAGAAACACCGGTAAACTCTATAAACGAATTTGTTTTTTAATTTTGATTTGTTTTTTTTTACACGCGATTTATTTGAAAATTTGTTGCTGTGCCACAAATTCGAGTAAAAAAAAATTGACCTTTAATTTCTCCGAGCTTTGCCTTCTTGTATAAACCTTTAGGATCACGTTGTTCAACAACTTCTAATGGAGCATCAACAAAAACTTCGATAAATGGGATACCATCATCATCATGCAATTTTCTTGCAGCATCGCGATCAGATCGATATGGTGAAATGAAAGAAGTTAATGCAATCGTCGTAGAATCCGCGAAAAGTTTTGCAACCTAAATTCGATTTGAAATAAATTTATTATTTACACTTTTTTTTTTAAAAAAAAAAAAAATAAGCTTTAAACTTTTTGAATAACGACTTACTTCCGCAATTCTACGAATATTTTCGGTACGGTCTTTTGGACCAAAACCCAAATCTTTATTCAAACCAAACCTAATATTATCACCGTCAAGTCTATAACTAGATACACCTAAATGCAGCAAATGTTGTTCTAAAGCACTCGCTAAAGTTGATTTACCCGAAGCAGAAAGTCCAGTAAACCAGATTGTTAGCCCCTTTTGTTTTAGTAAATCTTCACGCTCCGATCTTGTTATGTGTCCTGCATGCCAGGTAATATTTGTAGACATGTTTAATAAATTAGAAGGGGTCTTTTGAGATAAAAAATTAGGTTTATTTATAAAAGGATCACGATCTACCAATAAAAATTTTAAATGAATTATTTATATTTAGTAATTAGTCCGGACTTAACAATGGTTTTTCCTATTTTAGTCATACTATGAAAATAAAACTGGCAATTCCGAAATGATGTAAATTTTGTTCTTTTGGTAATCATTATTTAGGAGAGTATTGTATAAAGAAAAACCACGCAACTTGATATAGGTAACCAAATATAATGCTATTTGAGAAAGGAAACGCGTTTCTAAATTATTCCAATTTTTATTTCTTCTTTTCATCAAATTCCAATCCACAATAAATACCCCCATCAGAAGGATTATTAAGTTCATTAATAATGCTAAATCGTTGACTAGATGCATGTATTCAGGATCAAATATGCGAGTTGCACAAAAAAAGGTACGATTTGGAATATGTAATGAAATGATTCAGAATACCCGAAAATACATGACCAACTCCATGAATATAAAAAGGCCACAGAGCAATGAAAACAAATGGATAGCAACATAGCCACAAAAAAGCTACGGAGCACCAAAAACAGTAAGAAGATAACACTAAGATTTGGAATTTTTTCAATGAATTCTATTCTAATTTAAGAATCATTGGGTGGCGCAGAAATCCTTAATACATTTTTCAGTTAATTTTGGCCAGCACTATGCTATAATTTTGGCCGATTTTTAGGGCACATGAATTTGTGAGATCCATGGTAGCCGATCATTTCTATACCAGCTTGGATGCTAGAATATTATGTTCAAAATTCTGATCAAAATTATGGAATAGTGCTAGTCAAAATTAAATAAAACTTTTACTGCATCTTATTATATCAATTACATGATCTAGTTTTTCATTAATTTCTTGCTTTATTTAGTTATTAGATTGAAACACAAAATGCTAAATTTACAATCCTATCATATCTGATCTATTTAATTGCTAAGTAAAGTATAAAGTATCAAACTTACAATCTAAACATTTTATCCTATTTGATTTATCAAGATAATACTAAATTTGCAATTTATCATTTTTATTTACTAAAGTTAGCTTTTTCAATTATCAGATTGATGTACAAAATATCAATTTTGCAATTCATTTTTTTGTTAATAATCTATTTGCCATCTTTTGATTACTTGATAAGACATATGGGACCTTTGCAATAGAAAAGGAGGAAACTCAAAAAAAAATAAAAAATGAGTTAATAATAAATCTGAATAAATTATAGTATTTGAAATATTTTTGGCTTATAAACTAAAATTTTAATTTTTTTGGAATTTCCTCCCTTTCTATTGCAAAGGCTCCATATACTGTACATACCTTAATTTGCATTATTTTTTACGGGAATATTTTTTGCGAAAAGTTGGCTAAACTTCCACATACCCCTACATGTTTTATATTTTGCTGGGAAAAGATAGGGGGATAAATATAGGTGATTAGCATTGTCGTATGATGTCAAGAGCTTCATGAAAGCACATATAAACGGAATCCCCATACCTTTTTACATGTAGATCTACCGAAGAGATGCAAAGGTAGTTAGTTCTTGTAGATCTCGAAATTACAAAGTCCTCAACCCTTCATAGCATATACTTTTGACATTAATATTTACTTTTACAGTAGGTCCTGTGTTGCAACTAGACCTCCTTTCACATTTTCTCATATTTGTTTGAGAAAAAATAAAGAGCAAAAGTTAATATGTTTTCTTTTTCAAAATATATATGCAAAAATTAATATGCTTTAGCATCTTAATGGCTGTCACACAAACCTGTCTAGTGATCCACTTATTTTATCGCACAAGAGTACATGCGTGTGACCCAGCGAAATTTTCTGATCATGCAAAATACCTTAGTTACTGCGGAGAAGTATAGATAATGTAGTTCCTGCGCAATTGTGATGATTCTTACAAGAAATTATTTTTCCATTTTGAATATATATATATTATTATAACCGACAAAAATGACATCTGAAATAAAAGAAAATGAGATTAATACTAGCAATGAAGAAGTTACACACCTTGAGTTTGTAGGAGATAAGGCATCAGATTACGATCACGAACTATTCATCTCCAGTGAGAATATTATCCTTTTGGAAAATTTTTTAGAGTCAGCATGTAATAAACAGAAAACATCTTATACTTCAAGCCTAAGAAGTTTCAAAATTATGCATTATTCTAGACTCTCAGATAATAAAATTCTCTGTGTTCTACGCTCATACTCAAATACTGTATAACCAGTTTAAATTTTGAACAAAGTAAAAGTTTTACTGATACATCACTTATAGAAATTGTTCGATCTTATCCCAACTTAGAATCTCTCAATGTCTGTGATAACTAAGATATAACTGGTCACTTCATATATAAAATTGCAAAATCGTGTCAAAAAATACGCCACCTTGATATTGGTTTTTGTGGGAATGTCACTGATGATTTCATTTATAAAATAGTAGAAGTATGTTCTAAATTAGAACTTCTATGCATTAGTGGATTAAAATGGTGTAAGCCAATTTCTGATCAGATGATAGTTGCAATAGCTCACTCATGTCCTAATCTTCGCCATCTCTCTTTAAAAGGTTGTCATAATATTACAGACGTTTCAGTTAATAGATTGTTGCAACATATTCATAATTTAGAATACCTTGAACTTGATCAGTATAGATTTATTACTGATTCATCTATTTGTAATATTGCTAACTCTTGCCCGAAGCTCGAACATCTTGATATCGGTGCTTCTGATGCTTCTGACAAAACTATCTGTAATATTATACGTTCGTGTAAAAATTTATGATATCTTGATATCAGGTGTTACCGTCTAGTTACTAATATAGTCATTGATGAAATTGCGTAACATTATTCTAGTTTGAAATTTCTTGGTATACAGTTGACAAATGTTAATAAAGATGCATTGAGCAAACTTAATCCAAAAATTAAGATAAAGCGGGATTCAGTGCTTAACATAGAGTCAGAAAAGAACTTAATGATCTTTGGATAACACTAGTCAATTTAGTACAGTATTTATGGTTAACTTATGCGAATCTCAAAGATATTGTACAATACTGTGAAGACAAGATTAAAGATGAACATTATCAAAAGTCAATTGTGAAATTAGAACGGGATATGAGAAGTATGGCTGAAAGATTCAGTTTGATGGTAAGAATGTATAGGCTTAAAAAGAAAATTAATTATCAACCGACAAACCCAGAATTAGATACTAATTATACCATTACCGAGTTTGTTCCACGCGATATAAAATATAGAGGTAAAGAATTATCTTCACACATGAAATTTCAAACCTCTGAAGTGAATTCCACCAAAGATTGCGTAAAAATGATTTCTTTCTTTAAGACTAACATCTAAGATATAGTCATAAAACTAATCCATGATTTTTTCGCCTTTACTAACAATAAGCCTTTTTGCTAATCACCATTTTCTGAGCCGATCACTAATCCAGATTAGTTAGATAAGGCAGAGGGATACCCATTCTGAGGCTAGTATTCTTTCACCAGCTCTATATCGTTAGCGCATTCGAGTTAAACTAGCAAGTGTAAGATGATTACTAACTATTTCAATGAAATCAGGAGGCGTCACAAAATTCTCAACGTGTATATTTTGATTTAGCTGATCTACAGCTTCTTTGCTAATTTTATAATACCCCTCCATATCAAGATACTTTAAATTAAGACATGAACAAGCAATTTCTCTGATAATCATATCAGTAATTTCACAAAAACTAAGGACAAGTTCCTGGAGCCTTGGACAAAAACAATAATACTAGAAATTGATGTTTCAGTAATCTCTATGCGGTGAGAAATATTTAGATATTTTAATTTACGGCATGCGTTTGCTAAAGCAAATAAGCCTTTATCAATTATTATTCCAGCATGACTGCTTACATACTTATTCTTTCCCAAATTGAGATGCTTTAGATTTGGGTATGATTCTGCTATTCGATTTAGCATTTTATCGCTATATCCCATACTTTTTCCAAAATCCAAATGAATTATATTTGGATTTTTTTATCGGAAAGTGGATGGTAGTATGAAATTTCAAGATGAGTTAGATTCAAGCTATAAACTAATTGTTTCTTTTCACATACTAATTTTATGAATTTTTTCAATTGAGGGGGTTCTTTACACGATAATAGCCATTTCCCTTTAAGTTGATGCATTTCCATAGAATGGGAACACCGCATTTGTACCACAATTGGGAAACAAATAGAGTGTGATAGAGGGATTTATCTATCGCTAAAAAATGTAAAATATATTCTAATAATTCTGGTAAATAAAAGATGTTTGATTGCGCTATAAAAAATATATGCTGTATCCTTAAACAAAAAATAAAATTACACTATTATGCAAAGCATTTTTGACCTGCTCTGAATTGTTATTCTCATTTTATTTCTTTGAATGGGATCGTAAAATTATCATTCTAGTAATAGTTTTGAATTGCATATATCCAAAATTGCACCATTTTCTTGAAACCATGACATTCCTAATATTAAGTCAGGATAATAATCAGGCCAATCTGGTTCAAGAACTATGAATTCAACGGGTGTAATCGTTTGCAAAACTCTAATACTTGCTCTAACAATGTCTATTTCTCATTAGTTCATTGTTAACATAATCATGTATAGACTTAATATCTCTTGGTGCATCAACTGACATTCTCAGTCTTCTTAACACTACATACATCCTGGGATATTCACAAAGAGAAGGTAGTGTTATAGTACACATGAAATTCTCAACATGAAAATTTGAATTAAGTGAAACGAGCTGACCTATGGCTTCTTTGCTAACATTATCACACCCTTCCAATTTGAGATACTTTAAATTAAGACACGAACTAGCAATTTCTTTGATAATCTCATTAGTAAATTCGCAATAGTCAAATTTAAGATGTTGAAGCCTTGGGCAAGAATGGATAATATTACAAATCAATATCCCAATAATCTCTCTGTGATAAGAAATATTTAGATATTCTAGTTTATGACATGACCGTGTAATTGCACATAGACCTTTATCAGTCACTTTCCCATCATTAGGGCTTTTGTACCTACTCTTTTGCAAATTAAAATACTTCAGATTGGGGTATGTCTCTGCTACTTGATTTAGTGTTTTATCGCTAAATCCTGTGCTAAAATTTAAATCTAAATAGACTATATTTGGAAATAAATGCGCAATGCAATTGAATTTTTTATCTGAAAGTGGATGGTAGTTTGAAATTTCTAGATGAGTTAGATTTGAGCTATAAACCAGCTTTTGTCTTTTTCGTACTATTTTCATAAATTTTTTTAATTGAGAATGGTATTTATTTTCCCACTTTAGCTCAATACGTTTCCATAAAATAGGGACACCGCATCTGTATCACAATCGGCAAACAAATAGAGCAGGATAGAGGAATTTATCTATTGCTAAGAAATATAAAATCTGCTCTAGTAGTTCCTGTATATTAAAAATGCCTGTATGCGCCATATATAATCTGTATTATATATTGTATCTTTAAATGAAAAAATAGCAAAGCACCTTCGGGAAAATTATGCGATCACTGCTCTGGACTACAGTGTTGGCATATGACATAGTCATATAAAATTTTTATAACTTCATAGTCATATGTCATATGACTAAATGTCATAAGTCATAAAGTCATACAGTAGCGGTCATAAGTATCTGACCGCCCGAGATCGTCCAAAATTATTATATAACTACCCCTTAAATTTTCCAG